CCCCCCGCCCCGGGCACCCCCTGAGCTGCCCTGGCCCCGCAGTCGCGCTCGCTGAGCCCGTCGCCCTCGTGGAGCTGCGGCCCGTCGCACTCGGCGCCCGCCAGCCTGGGCGAGCGCAGCTTCTTCGGCGTCTCGCAGCCGCCGCTCGGTGCGTCCCGCAAACCCGGGGGGTCTGCAGGAGGTTTGGGGGGGTCTCTCTGACCTCTCCCATCCCACCCCACACCAGGGCTGTCACGGGGCCCCAGCCCCGTGGTGCTGGGCTCGCAGGATGCGCTGCCCGTGGCCACGGCTTTCACCGAGTACGTCCATGCCTACTTCAAGGGCCGCGATGCCGACAGGTGGGGACGCGACGGGGACACGGCGGGGCCTGTCCGCGCGGTGGCCCCCGGGCCGTGCTGAGCCGTCCCCGTCCCTGCAGCTGCCTGGTGAAGGGCACGGGGGAGCTCACCATGTCCTTCCCCGCCGGCATCGTGCGCGTGTTCGGCGCCAGCGCGGCCCCGCCGGTGCTCAGCTTCCGCCTGCTCAACGCGGGCGCCATCGAGCAGTTCGTGCCCAACGCGGAGCTGCTCTACAGGTGCGGGGGGGACAGAGGGGCCCCGTCCTCGGAGCCGCTGCCTGGCTCCAAAGGGGCCTGGGCATCCCCCGAGGGACCCGCTGGGAGCCGGGACGGGCTTGCACGGAGAGGGGGAGCTGGGAATGGGGTGCACGGGAGTGGGTGAAGGTGCTGGGGTTGGGGTGCGTGGGGTGCTCAGGGTACTTGGGAGTGAGTGAAGGTGGTTGTGGAGAGCTAGGGACAGGGTGCGTGGGGTGCACGGGAGCAGCTAAAGGTATTAGTGGGGAGCTGAGATTGGGCTGTATGGAGAGAGCAGGTGAAGATGGGACAGGGAGAAGGTGAAGGTGCTGGGGAGAGGATGCACGGGGTGCTCAGGGTGCACAGGAGCGGTTAAAGGCATCAGGGAGACACTGAGGATGGGATGCACGGGAGTGGGCAAAGGTGCTGGGGACAGGGTGCATGGGGTGCACGGGAGCAGCTAAAGGTATTAGTGGGGAGCTGAGATTGGGCTGTATGGAGAGAGCAGGTGAAGATGGGACAGGGAGAAGGTGAAGGTGCTGGGGAGAGGATGCACGGGGTGCTCAGGGTGCACAGGAGCGGTTAAAGGCATCAGGGAGACACTGAGGATGGGATGCACAGGAGTGGGCAAAGGTGCTGGGGATAGGGTGCTCGGGAGGAGGTGAAGGCGCTGGGGACAAGCTGGGCATGGGGTTCACGGGGTGCACAGCAGCGGGTGAAGGGGGCGGTGGTGGCGTCTCCACTCTGAGCCCTGTCCTGCAGCGACCCGTCGCAGAGCGACCCCAGCACCAAGGACTTCTGGCTGAACATGGCAGCGCTCACGGGGCAGCTGCAGAGACAGGCGGAGCAGAGCCCAGCGTCCTCCTACTACAACGTGGCGCTGCTCAAGTACCAGGTGGGCCCCGGCGCGGCTGCGGGGCAACAGGGTCCCTTTCCTGGGTGCACAGGGTCCCTTCCCATAGCCCTGGGTACACAGGGTCCCTTTCCTGGGTGCACAGGGTCCCTTCCCATAGCCCTGGGTACACAGGGTCCCTTTCCTGGGTGCACAGGGTCCCTTCCCATAGCCCTGGGTACACAGGGTCCCTTTCCTGGGTGCACAGGGTCCCTTCCCATAGCCCTGGGTACACAGGGTCCCTTTCCTGGGTGCACAGGGTCCCTTCCCATAGCCCTGGGTACACAGGGTCCCTTTCCTGGGTGCACAGGGTCCCTTCCCATAGCCCTGGGTACACAGGGTCCCTTTCCTGGGTGCACAGGGTCCCTTCCCATAGCCCTGGGTACACAGGGTCCCTTTCCTGGGTGCACAGGGTCCCTTCCCATAGCCCTGGGTACACAGGGTCCCTTTCCTGGGTGCACAGGGTCCCTTCCCATAGCCCTGGGTACACAGGGTCCCTTTCCTGGGTGCACAGGGTCCCTTCCCATAGCCCTGGGTACACAGGGTCCCTTTCCTGGGTGCACAGGGTCCCTTCCCATAGCCCTGGGTACACAGGGTCCCTTTCCTGGGTGCACAGGGTCCCTTCCCATAGCCCTGGGTACACAGGGTCCCTTTCCTGGGTGCACAGGGTCCCTTCCCATAGCCCTGGGTACACAGGGTCCCTTTCCTGGGTGCACAGGGTCCCTTCCCATAGCCCTGGGTACACAGGGTCCCTTTCCTGGGTGCACAGGGTCCCTTCCCATAGCCCTGGGTACACAGGGTCCCTTTCCTGGGTGCACAGGGTCCCTTCCCATAGCCCTGGGTACACAGGGTCCCTTTCCTGGGTGCACAGGGTCCCTTCCCATAGCCCTGGGTACACAGGGTCCCTTTCCTGGGTGCACAGGGTCCCTTCCCATAGCCCTGGGTGCACAGGGTCCCTTCCCATAGCCCTGGGTGCACAGGGTCCCTTCCCATAGCCCTGGGTGCACAGGGTCCCTTCCCATAGCCCTGGGTGCACAGGGTCCCTTCCCATAGCCCTGGGTGCACAGGGTCCCTTCCCATAGCCCTGGGTGCACAGGGTCCCTTCCCATAGCCCTGGGTGCACAGGGTCCCTTCCCATAGCCCTGGGTGCACAGGGTCCCTTCCCATAGCCCTGGGTGCACAGGGTCCCTTCCCATAGCCCTGGGTGCACAGGGTCCCTTCCCATAGCCCCGGGTGCAGAAGGACCCTTCCCTGGGTGCACAGGGTCCGTTCCTATAACCCTGGGGTGCACAAAGTCCCTTTTCAGAGCCCTGATGTGCACAGAGTCCTTTTCCATAGCCCTGGGTGCCCAGGCCCCTTCCCATAGCCCTAGGGTGTACAAGGTCCCTTCCCATAGCCCTGGGTGCACAGGGTCCCTTCCCATAGTCCAAGTGCACAAGGACCCTTCCCTGGGATGCACAAGGTCCGTTCCTGTAGTCCTGGGGTGCACAGGGTCCCTTCCCATAGCCCTGGGTACACAGGGTCCCTTTCCTGGGTGCACAGGGTCCCTTCCCATAGCCCCGGGTGCAGAAGGACCCTTCCCTGGGTGCACAGGGTCCGTTCCTATAACCCTGGGGTGCACAAAGTCCCTTTTCAGAGCCCTGATGTGCACAGAGTCCTTTTCCATAGCCCTGGGTGCCCAGGCCCCTTCCCATAGCCCTAGGGTGTACAAGGTCCCTTCCCATAGCCCTGGGTGCACGAGATCCCCTTCCTGGGTGCACAGGGTCCCTTCCCATAGTCCAAGTGCACAAGGACTTTTGGAAGGCGACGCAGAGGTCTGTTCCCGCAGTCCTGGGGTGCACAGGGTCCCTTCCCATAGCCCTGGGTACACAGGGTCCCTTTCCTGGGTGCACAGGGTCCCTTACCGTAGCCCCGGGTGCAGACAGGGTCCATTTCCTGGGTGCACAGGATCCCTTCCCATAGCCCCGGGTGCAGAAGGACCCTTCCCTGGGTGCACAGGGTCCGTTCCTATAGCCCTGGGGTGCACAAAGTCCAGCCTGGCACCAGGGCCATCCGCGCTGGGCACCAGCCCCCTCCTCATCCCTTTCTTTTCATATCCACAGGGATTTACCTGGCCGGCTCCTGAGCGCCGCCTGTCCCGGCCTGTGCAGGGCTCCCCCGCGCTCCCGCCGCGGTTTTTGGAAGGCGACGCAGGGGCCGGAGGCTGCTCGGGAAGGGGGTGCTGCCACCCCAGCAATGTGCTGGCCGGGTAGAGGCCGTCCTCCCCATCCTCCTCATCCTCGTGTGCTCACTGTGCCCATGTCCGTCGTCTCCTGCTGGCTGGAGGATGGTCCCCTCGTCCTCCCTCGTGCTGTGAAGGGCGCAGGAGCTGCTGTTTTATTAAACACTTTATTTTCTAGTAACCCTC